CGGGATACGCCCAGAGTCACGGAACAGATTAAGTTCGTATCCTGAGGTACCACTGTACTGGTTCAGCAATGAGTATACTGCGTTAGTCACTGAATGCATACTTGCATTAAAAGGGGCCAAAATCAATCCCTTCCCCTCAATTAAAAAGATCAGGAAACAGAGGATGAGAAAGACCTCTGACACCAAACAGAATAGACAAATATTGGGCGGGTTGATCCAAGAGTCTGACCTAGTATAAGGAATTTTCCTAAATTTGCTTCCTTCATTCTTTATCAAATCTGTTTTGCATCCCTTTCCTCTCGCCTGTCCACCTGACTGAATCACATTTAAAATCTGTATAATTCCTGGCACTCTGCAATCTCTCAAATCATATTTCTGTATTTATTTAAAAGGTATATCCCAACTTTGCAGTGCATAGTTATTACTGACAGGCAGCTACCAGTTATGTTACACTGACTCAGACTTTCTAGCCACTCTTCCTGTGGATATCCATGGGGGGGGGGGGATGTGACAAGAAGGGGTATGATGACATCATCATGCAAATGCTGAGGCTTATATATTGTGATAAGAGTCAATGATACTTTAAAAAGAAGCAGCTAGCAAAAATATAAACAAAAGAGCCTTCATTACCTCTTGGACATCTTCTGGATTTTTTCGTGAAACAATCTGAAAAACAAAAGCAGAGGTATTTTTAGTGCTTCAGGCCTTTAAAAGAATAAAAAATAGCAGATGAAATAATCCAGTGTATTAACACAGACTGGGCTGGGAAACATTTTATTGTGGAGTCCTTGATGCTCTCTGAGCTTGGTTGTTTGTTTGCAGACGTTTTATTACCCAACTAGGTAACATCGTCAGTGTGAGGGAGTGTGGATTTTCCTCCCTGTTTATATACAGTAGTTTGCTCTGCCAGTTTTGGTGGGGGTGTGGTTTTCTCCTTGATAGTTCCTTGATTAGGGTACTGTTTTCTGCTTGATCATTTGCCTGGTGTTCATCCCTGCTTATCTGGGTATGGCTACTGGAAGGGATGTGTTCTGGTTTTTTTCTTTCCTTCTTAGCTTTTTTATTCTCTCTTTTGAATGGTGTGTGAATGTGGTTTATTTCTATGTGTCTATTGATAGCTGATTTGTCTGAATGCCAAGCT